TCTGGATATTTATCACAGAATTTGCATTTTGGGCTAACACAATAATCTAAGCTTTTAACGCTGCACTCCGTAGCCTTTGCTGGGTACGGGCTTTGTCTACATCAGTTTGTTTGGTACGGGCAGAGTATTGACCATGAAGCCATTGTTTCTGTATCTGGTAGGTAGCATTTTTTTGTGCTTTCTGTTTTCAGTATTTTGCAGCTTCAGTAAGTGTAGTGTGCTTTAATTGTATTTCTTCACCCATTTGAAATTCCATTTTGAACTTGTTGGCTTCCTTTATTACGAAACAAAGACGCTTACTACCTTCATGTTCTTTAACACATATCATCATCCAGTCTTCTGTAGTTTCCCGTTATCTTTGAAGGCCGATTGTTGTAATTTGGTAAGACATTTCTAGTAGAACTAATCCTCTGCCTCCTTCGGATCTGGCCACATACAGAGGATCAACATCAGCCTGGGGATAATGCATACGGTGGTAAGTAAGAAGCTTTCACGTTTTGGCGTCAATTCGCTTAATATCAGCTATGGTCCAATTAAGGATGTTAAAGCTGTATTGCACCACAGGGACTGCCAAGGTGTTTATGGCTGATATTATGTTTTTTGAGTTTAGCTCGGTATTTAATACCAGACGCATAAGCATGTAGTACTCCTTTCTTACCTTCTCCTTCATTTGGGGATGTTGTATACCATTTCCTTCGCTAATTCCTAGGTACTTATAGGCTTCATTTTGTTCCAGTTCCCTAATCTTTATGACAAAGTCTAAATCTATTAAAGGTGTTTCTGTAATTTTCCCTTTCTTAAATGTTACTTTTTCACATTTATCTAATCCGAAGTCCATGCCTATGTCGTCACAGAAACATTTTACAATATAGAGGATAACCTTCAACTCATTGTCGTTTTTGGCAAAGAATTTGAGATCATCCATGTAGAGTTGGTGATTGAATATTTTTTGTCTAGTTTTTAACTATATCTAATGTTGTTTACTTCAAGAGTACGGGGGATTAAGTATAAACAAAACAGAAGGGGTGACAGGAAGTCTCCATGAAAGATTCCGCGTCGGATATTCAGACGGTTGGAGATGGCAGTGTCTCTGGTGTGACTAAGGTATAGTGTGGTGCTACACATTCGCATGCTGTGCTTAAATAAATTAACTATCACAGTCTTAAGGATCCAAGAGTATGGTACAGTACCAATGGCTTTATAACCAATCCAGGCTGCACTAAGATTTTTACGTCGTCTCCTGCAATTTTCAAGAATAATTTTGTTTATCAGTAATTGATCTTTGCAGCCATATGAACCTCTTCTGCATCCCTTCTGTTCCAGTAGAAGAATGTTGTTTGCTTCGAAAAGGGAGGTAAGTTCGGTTCGTCAGGACAGACGTGATCAACTTATACCTGGTGGAGAGACATATTATTGGCCTATGATTTTTCGGATCATCAGTTTCACTCGTTTTTGAGATATGTAATGCCTTCTGTGATGCATTCCAGGATTTCATTTGGATTATTTACAAGCGTTGATAGAGATTTTGCAAGGGCTTTAGGGATTGATGTGAGATGATAGAGCCAGAAATTGGTTACCTTGTCATTCCCTGGCGATTTCAATTTTGGGGATGTCATTAGAGTTTTCCTAACATTATTTGTGGTTATATTTTCCCATTCTTTCAGAGGTGTATCCAGCATTCGTTCTTCTTCACGTCGGATCCATTCTGCATTTGGGTTTTTTTCCTTTGGGCTGCTCCAAATATTCTCCCAAAATGTCTGCACATTGTCAACAAATGGCGGCTTTTCGACATGTATAAGTACCTTTCCAATTTCCCTGTAAAATGTCTTGGCGATAGAACCTACAACTGCCTTTAACTGAAGTTTCTGCTTCAGCGTTACCTTGATTGATGGAATTTCAATTAGGGATTTTATTTTATATTTTCGCTTGATCTTCTTCTTCTTCTTCTTCTTCTTCTTCTTCTTCTTCTTCTTCTTCTTCTTATTATTATTATTATTATTATTATTATATAATACCGCTAATTGTTAAAAAAAGTACCATGTTATTTTGGGGTAAGTTAGACAAAAAGCAAAACATAATTAAATCGTTAAAATACAAGAAATTATTGACAGATGATACAATCCGAAATTTTTCAATTATCGAATGCCTGTAGCCATTCAATATTAACGAAGAAATTGTAAAATGCATAGCTAAATCCATGAAAAATCCTTGACCGTCCAAGTTAAATTGAGTTTAAAGGTAATTCTGAAAAGCGAAATAGGCCAAGGAGATTTGATACCACTGTATCTAATTTTATAAAAATTGTCAAGAAGGACACGACTGGAAAATTCAACTAATGCTTGTAAATGAATAAAAAATGCGAAGAATATAAATGATCTGTGAATTTGATTCAAATAAAAAAATTAGAAAAGACAAACGAACAGAATTTGGTATGATGAGAAACGCATAACTAATGAAGAAAAAAAAAATACCTTTGTCAATAGATGGGATTGAACTACAAACAGAAACAATGATAACTATCAAGAAATGATCGATATTAAAAAAAAAAAAAACAAACTAGAAAATGCGATTCTGTAAAGCAGATTGAAATAAAGAGAAAATATAAAACTCAAAAGAAAATACTTGTATAATATAAGATGAAACATTGTTAATTATTAATTTTCAACTTTTTCTATGTATCGTGTCCCTTTAAGACGTGGGTGATCAAGGCTCTCCACTCCTTCGTGCCCTTTGTGATTATTAATACGATTTGTCTATTCGCTATCCTCAATCCGTGTTGTGTGACTTATTTGCCCAAACTCGTTATTCGCTGTGTTCTTTTGTTTCCATTTGCCTTTAATATGGCCCTGTGTATTTTAAATTCTCCAAGCCCAATTTCCTCATTTCCTGTCTGGAAAATGTCAACTGTTTTTCTGATTCTAAGTATAAATGTCATTTTTGTTTCCATTCCACGACGTTTTTTTGTGGTGATATGAAAATTGTATATAGGTGGAAAGGTTTCTACAATGTTGAGTGGAGTTATCTTTCCTTGACTACACTGCGTACTTGTAAAAAACTTTACACGACAAAGCAACTTGACGTCGCTGATAGGCTATCTAAACTCGTTAGAGGATCCTGAGCTTGTTGAGACATGGATATGATGTTTCATGTCGTTTGCAATTAAATTTAAACTTATCTCAATTCATTGTCATGCCTTCATTACTCATTCTGCTCAAAACATGTTCCGTTTTATTCTTCAGCTCCTCCTCAGTACGAGAGCCAATACCTATGTCATCGTGATAGACAATGATGATTTTTACACCTTCCAAAGCCTTCTTCAGGTAGTTGGAATGCCGAACTGAAGCCTTTATTTCGCTCACTGGGGTTGACTGTTCTAGTTCCACTTGCCATGTTTAATTGATGTCAGTTATTAGTTATCTCCTGTTAATTCCCCTCTCCAGGTTCTCCACTGCCTTAATCAGGTATTGAACTCAAACTGTCACTGGATCTAACTAACACCTTTATACACTGTGTCATGTGTCCTTGAGGACATTTGTGTGTGAATTTCTGGGTATTATCAGTTATCTCCTGTTAATTCCCCTCTCCAAGTTCTCCAACGCCTTAACCGGGTATTGAACTCACACTCTTGATAAAGGCGTTAGTTTGGAGAGGGGAATTAACAGGAGAATTTCACTAAGACATTATATATCTATATAATTTAAAAGTTTTCAGCAATTGTCTGGAGTACTGACTGGGTGCGAAATTTGTTACTGGGTAATAAATTTCTACTAAAGTCGGACCACAAACCTTAGAGTTCATTTTCAACCCAAAGAGTTGCCTAAAATCATGTCAACCCAGATTGGTGGGAGATTAAGCTTATGGCATTCGATTTCGACGTTGTATATAGTAAAGGAAATGCCACTTCACGCAGAGACACAGAAGTCAAGATTGAATTTTAATATTCAGAATGTTGAAACAAACGATAGTTGTGAGGACAGAAATTTTGCAGAGACAGATGTGTTATCCTTCAGGGGGCTCAAGATTGAAACCCTGCAGGATCCTATATTAAAAAGAGTACTGAATAGAATACAGAATAAGGTGATGGAGAAATTCTTCTATGACAAAAAGGATTTTTAAGGAAGCAAAGCAAAGATTAACAATTGGAAGAGGAGTTATATGTAATGGAGATCTTCTTATTGTACCACCAAAATCATTAAGAAAAGCAGTACATGATGACATGCATGGTGGTGTATTGAACATACAATTAAGGTTGAAACTAAAAGTCTGGTGGTCAGGGTAGACACGAGACGTGGATGATTATGTCGGAAAACCCCCTAAATGTGCAAAGAAAAAGAACTTTAGGCAAACCAAGATTCATTGATGTTCAAAAGAGAATGAACCATGGATAAGGGTACACATGGATCATGCATTCATTAAAAATGTAGGCCTATTTCTCATCCTCATATTCAGCTTGGCCGGAAGTGGTTAAAGTTGCAGACAGAAAGGCAAGTACTGTAAAACAGGGGTTAAGTGTAGTATTTTCGAGGAATGGAGTATCTAAGACATTGGCGTTACATGATGAAGAAAGCTTGTGTACATGGTTAATATGAATTGGATGTAGGCTATACAAAACACTGCCATACCATCCTCATTAAAATAGAATTGCGGAAAGGGTGGTCCAGACGATAAAAGTTAGATTGAAAGCATTCTCTCCAGGGAATTGCATAACAGAAAGGTATTTAGGAAGATTGCTTTTAAATTACAGGACCATCCCGCATGCGGACAGAACACAAAACCCCTCGGCATTGAAAGCAAATCAGACTAACCAATAACCATGTCCTTCTCAAAAAATGAGAATGTATGGTAAAAAAGAAATAAAGATTTGAATTCTGAGAAAGCACAATTGGAAAAGCAAAAAGAACAACGATATTAACAAAAATGGACAGGGCGTGTTAGCTCATGAAGACAAGTTTAGATTACGAACAGAGGTTTGAAGACATTGAAGTGGAGAAAGAGCCTGGTTAGGATGAGAGAGAGAGAGAGAGAGGGGGGGGTTGGAGATCAGGATTAGCACCAAGAAATGGAGAGTTAAGGCCGGGGGGAGAGAATGAGTGTCTCTACAGATAATAAGGAACACGAGGAAGATTCAAATGAAGAAAATTCGGTAAGACTGAGATCCCCAATAAAGAAGAATCTAGGCAATCACCGTGAGACAAGCGGTACACGTCCTCGCAGGGTTCATAGAAGGGCCTAAATCCTCTAAGATTTCAGGAGATATGGTGATATGCAAATTAGATTCTATATAAGTGCGAAGGATTCTATACTAGTAAGTAGAGTTATCTTTCCTTGAATACACTGTATATATGTGAGAACTTTACATCACAGAAGATTTTTCTTTGTTTCTAATTTTATTTTTCAATCGCTTTAAAAACTCATTCACTTAAAAGAAAAAATCTCTCCAGTTATTTCTATATTAGTGCAGGAAGTTGAATTTCTGTACTTGTATTATTTTGATGTCACTGGTTTGTAATAAAAGCTTGGCGCTACCATTTTTACTCATCGTTATGGACTTATTTCATCTTAACGTTCATCATTTACCGAGTACATAGACTTATTTTTCTGGCAGTTTTACTTCTGTATCTGTCATCAAGACTATGTTGTCAGAGTGGCATATGTTGCTATGGTTACGAAAAGCAAAAATTGTATTGGTCGATTGAGAAAATTGAACAATTTTGATAGATTTCGATCGATGGAAACGGATAGTGAAAGCTTCTGAGAACATAAGATTGGAGAAAAATTAGATTGACAAACAGTATGATCATTTGAGAAAACAAACAGCGACAGATAGATATGAACAAACAGATAGATAGATAGATAGATAGATAGATAGATAGATAGATAGATAGATAGATATGAATAGACTGAGATAGATAGATAGATAGATAGATAGAGAGAGAGAGAGATAGATAGATATGAATAGACTGAGATAGATAGATAGATAGATAGGTAGATAGATAGATATGAACAGACTGAGATAGATAGATAGATAGATAGGTAGATAAATAAATAGATAGAGATAGATATGAATAGACTGAGATATATAGATAGATAGATAGATAGATAGATACATACATACATACATACATACATACATAGGAACAAACCAAGATAGATAGAAACAAATTGAATAAGCTGAGGCAGATAGATAGATAGATAGATAGATAGATATGAATAGACTTAGATATATAGATAGACAGAGATAGATAGATAGATAGATAGATAGATAGATAGATATGAATAGACTGAGATAGATAGATAGATAGATAGATAGATAGATAGATAGATAGATAGATATGAATAGACGGAGATAGATAAATAGATAGATAGGTAGATAAATAAATAGATAGAGATAGATATGAATAGACTGAGATAGATAGATAGATAGATAGATAGATAGATAGATACATACATACATACATACATACATACATAGGAACAAACCAAGATAGATATAAACAAATTGAGATTGATACACAAGAACAAAATTAGATAGATAGATAAGAACAGAGATAATCAGATATTAACAAACAGAGGTAGATAGATAGATATGAAAAGAGATAGGTAAATTTGAAGCAACTGAGATAGATAAATAGATTGACTGATAGATATGAAGAAACTGCGATAAATATGAATAATTTGAGATAGATAGATAGATAGATAGATAGATAGATAGATAGATAGATAGATAGATAGAAACAAACTGAGATAGAGAGAAATATACCAAGATAGATAGAAACGAATATGCTGAATTAGATGTGAACGTACCGATATAGATATATGTAAACAAAGATAAGTATATATAAACAAACCAAGATGGATAGATATGAACATACTGATATAAATAGGGAGATATGAATTGAGATAGATAGAGAGATAGATAGATACGAACAAACTGAAATATATAGATAAATAGATAGGGAGATAGATATGAACAAACTGCGATAAAGACATAGACAGATAGAATAAAACTGTGATTGATATATAGATAGAAATGAACAAAGCGAGAAAGATACAAACAAATTAAAATAGAACGATATGTTAACTGAGATAGATAGATATGAACAAACTGAAATAGGGAGATATGAACAAACTACGATAGATAGATAGATAGATAGATAGATAGATAGATAGATAGATAGATACAAACCAGCTGAGATAGATAGATAGATAGATAGATATGAAAAACAAAGAACGATAGATAGATAGATAGATAGATATTAACAAGCTGAAATAAATTGACAGAAAGATATGAGCAATATGAGATAGATATGAACAAACCCAGAAAGATAGTTAAATATGAATGAACTGAGACAAATAGATAGATAGATATGAACAAAATGAAATAGATACATAGATATGAAGAACTTGAGAGATCTATGATGAAACTGAGATAGATAGATAGATAGATAGATAGATAGATAGATAGATAGATAGATATGAATATACTGAAATAGATAGGCACAAATAAATAGATTCAAATATCCTTTAAATTTCCGCAAGCAAAATATAAACCTGTAAACATTGTGTCCATTATTTATAGAAAAATGCCAGTTTCTACTTTAGCACCGTAAGCGAGTCTATTAAAATTATCAACTCTCTTCTGGGTATTTTTGCTTAATAAGTGTTGATACGTTTTGTTCTATTTTCATCCGTAGATACACCTCTACAAAATGTTCCGCCATTCAATATGGCGAAATTGTCTTCCGGGGGCTGGCAATGGATAGAAATGATTTCAACAGTCATTTAGTCCTGTTGAGAAATCTGCGCAAACACCAATGATATTATTATTTTACCTTTTTACATAAAATGTTGGGGCAACCCATTCAGATGATTCCCACGATTTCTAGTCTATCTAGTTCAAGGTGTATCACATCTACCCCACCATAAGGAACAGAGCGTTTAGCTTTAAAATCCGGAATGACTCGTTCTTTTAGATGTAAACTTGCTTTGGCATTTCGGTATTTTCCTGAACCTCCCGAATAAACAGCAGGGAAACTTTTTGATGAGGCTTTTACACTCTTCGTGAAACAATTTAATCTCGAGTTCAACTGAGCCACAAATAGAATTTATGGATTCGTTCCATAAATTGAAGTTTTATAGCCAGTCACCTCCAAAAACTTTCAAGTGTATTTCTTTCATAATGTGGAGCGTATCTTTTGAGTCCTGTCCTCGGAAAGAAACACTACAATTTATTGTTTCCATTATATTTAATTTCGCCCCCGACGTACCTCTTGCACGTCGATAATGTTTTTCAATTTTTATGGCGCCAGTATCGTTCATATTTTATCAATTATAACCGTTATGTAGCATCTCGTGTCTAATTTTAGTTTTACAAGTCTTCCGTTCATTTCTGCATATTTTCGGCTAACCTCGGGCTCTACTTGCATTGTCAGAATAACCTTAACATAAATATATTTTTAAATTATTTTTTTTTGTTTTCTGCATGTCTTTGAAAGCGGCCTACCTTCTGACATCAAAAACGTTTGGAATTTTTAAATGGGTATTTTCTTTAAAATATCTGGCCAAACAACCGTGAGGTGGGTCACGTCTTTTACCTTTAGATTTTTTCTTTCTCGCTTGACCATCTGAAAGTCTATCCCTATGACTTCAATTCTGTCGGATATCATGCTTGAGATTTAATATCCGTTGACGTTCTTCTGCAACTCTTTGCAATGTTAATTGTTGGTCTTGTTCTAGCTTCGAAAGAACATGCAAACTTATTTCAGAGACCTTGCTAGAAATCAAAATATTTGCAAAATCTAAACCGGTCAGAGGATATTTCGTGTAAGTTAAAATTTTCAGTTTACTATTTCTGTTTATATAACGAAATCACCCGCGTCAGTTATTTTTTTTGTTAAATTTAAACAATGTCAACTGGATAGAAAAATTAACTTTTTCTAGTCAAAGATTTTAGAAAGCATAGGTAACGTCTGGTCAAAATTTATGTTTACCTGGTTTTTCAGCAAAATGTAGCTACACTACTTTTCATGCTCTGCAAGTCCCAGTTTCCGTACCTTTTTTTTTTGTCTGTTTAGGCTTGATAGTTATACCTTTTTCTCGTCTGTTTAGGCTTGATAGTTGTACCTTTTTCTCGTCTGTTTAGGCTTGATAGTTGTACCCTTCTCTCGTCTGTTTAGGCTTGATAGTTGTACCTTTTTCTCGTCTGTTTACGCTTGATAGTTGTACCATTTTCTCGTCTGTTTATGCTTGATAATTGTACCTTTTTCTCGTCTGTTTAGGCTTGATTGTTGTACTTTTCTCTCGTCTGTTTAGGCTTGATAGTTGTACCTTTTTCTCGTCTGTTTAGGCTTGATTTTTGTACTTTTCTCTCGTCTGTTTAGGCTTGATAGTTGTACCTTTTTCTCGTCTGTTTAGGCTTGATAGTTGTACCTTTTTATCGTCTGTTTTAACTTGATAATTCTTCTCTAAGATTTCTTCCTATCTTTCTATCTCCTGAAGTATGTCTTCAAGATATGACCATCTTCAGGAACATGAACTCTACGAATGTATTTTCTACAGCGTCTGGAGTAAACGAGACATTCGTTCCGTTTTCTTTTATTTTTTATGCGAGTAATGATATCATTTGGTTTTGATTCCCTTGCAATCTCTGTTGCTCCTGCATTTGTTGTTGTATGATTACTGTCTTTAAATCTTCCATCTTGCAGTTGAAGAATTCGTCGCCATTCTTATAATGGTGACTGTTCAAAATAGCCACGGATTAATAAGGCCATTGTTAGAGAGAGAGAGAGAGAGAGAGAGAGAGAGAGAGAGAGAGAGAGAGAGAGAGAGAGAGATTCATCAAATAATCATACTGATATGTTCCGAAAAGGGATATATTTGATCGAAGTAGTTAAGGGGATTTGGCTACTATAACTAATCACAGGTAATAGATGTAAACCAATAGGATAGCCAATGGCGTAGTCGAATGGGCGTCGTCATAAACTTAAACTCTGTCGTACCTACACGTCCGTCTGTATTTATGACGGACACCAGCCAATCATATTCCAGTGAAGGGGATCTCAGGTGTATGCATATTCCATTATATCACATACATATACCAGAAAAACTTGAGTGACTCAGCAACTCCCCAAATCAATATTTATTCGTATAATATATACAAAATGTGGCACAAGGCCAAAATGGAAAATTGGGAAAAGAACGGTCTTTTGTCTTAACATTAAACTTAGCTAGCCACAATCAATGACCCAAACATATCACAATATTCCTAACAGCAAAACAACGGTCCCCATATGTACAATTCTTAGATGTTGAGGGAGTGAAAAATAACATCAATTTAAAATCCAAAAGCAAATGTGTATTTACAATATGAATAAAAACTATTTACAGGAAACTAAATAAAATAATGTTAGTAATAAAAACCCCTACAATCTTTAAATGTGGCAGAAACCCCAGTTAAGGGGATGAAATCAATGCGGAATTCGTCCAAATCACTCACTCAAACACACAGTCATTCAATTACACCTTCGAGATCGAAAGGTGTCCCGCATCCACCAGATAACTGACATCTCTGGACACCTAACATGGGAAGGGTAGGGTATTCAAATAAAGAAATTGAAGGCATGAATAAAACGGGGCAAGGAGCATACATCCAATAACTATGTTAACTTAAATGAAGAAATTAAAAGAGAAAAAAAACCCTTAAAGCAAACTAATTTCGGGCGGGTTGCCAATGTTCAACAAAACGCAAACTCCTAATGCCTAAACGGCATCAAAGTGCCACTTGAGTCGGCTCCTCTTACTCGACACAAACGCGCTTAACTACCAAACCTTGACCCTTCTTGATAAGCAAGAAGTCCAACTCTGCGTAAGCTAAAGCTACGTCCTCACTACCACGGGATTTTACTGCTCGATCGACGTTTTGCTCACGTGCCGTTTGCGCCGCTAATCTTTCTAGATTGAGTCGGCATCAGTTCCTGCTGTAGCATTAGTATTTGCTGGTGCTGAAAATCTTGCTCACCAAATAATGATGAGTTCAATTTCCAGTGGCCAGCCATCTTAACCTTAAGCTTATCTAGATTTACATGAACTCGCACGAGCCTATGGTCTGAATAAACTATATAATGGAAACTTGGGCACACTAAGATCCCTAACTCGACTCTTCTAAGATTCGGTCGATCTAGTTAGAACGCACCTCTGTATCTGAGCCGACGCTATAAGTCCACACTACCTACTGAGTGTTTTCATTATAGTACTGTAGCTTAAATAAATCTATTGCTGCAACGTCACTTGTACAAATCACAATATCGCTGGTTCAATTCGCCGTCTTCGCTTTCTTCCCACGACACTACGTATAGCCAACGTTTCTCTCCCCTTTTTCACGGCTCCAGCACTCTTTTATCAGGCCAACACCGCGGTTCCCCAGCCAATCAGCGTTCTTCGCTGTTATTCTCGGTTACACAGGCAAATTGCCTCCTCCAGTTCGACCAATCAGCACACGACTTGCTATTGGTGGAAGCATGCCAAACTGTACAAAAAACCCTCATCACTGCACATACTGCTAGAATAGGTGGAAAGGAGAGTAATGCTATTTTCACGAAGCAAACTTGCTGATGTCACATGCCGCACATTAAGGTAAGACCCTTATTTTCCTATACACCAGATGCAAGCCACTCTGGCTCACTTGCTTCTACGGGACTGTTCACCACAAGTACTTATCGACAAAATCAAACTTATCGATAAAGTCCCAAAATGTTTTCACGTCTCGGTTGTTAGGACACAATCTTGGTCCTTTATATCTATATAGGGATCAAGAACGGCATTTCAATCCCCTGCTAAAACTAACCGACGAGATGTCGTCAATAACGGCTCAATCTGCCGAAACAAAGGAGGGCGCTTCGAATGTTCATTGGGCGCTTAAACCCCAATGAGACGAAGATACTTATCCTTTATAATAACATCCAGCAATGCAAAGCGACGACAAAAGCAGATGCCGCGTTCAAAGATTTGCTTACCAGCCAGGGAAATCCTCCCGAGCGACCATCAAAATATGTTGAACAGAGGGAAAACCCCTAGACAGAATGTCCTCATCATCACGAGTTGAAAAAAAAGAAAAAAAAGGGTCTCCTGCACACAACGAATATTCACCGCGAGACGCTGAAGATCGCGAGAGAGCATCGCCTTGCTAGGCTCCGATCTCAGGTCCCGGGAATTCACACTAGCTAACCAGAGTGCCATTATCAGACCGATTAGGGCTGCTCTTCTCCATTGAACATGGCCGGAGTGAGGACACCGATGGCTTGTACCATTGATGCTATTCCTACCTCAGTATTGATGGTACTATTATGAGACATAATGTAATACTGACGAAAAGAGAAACATAAAACTTAATATATAAACGTATAAAAAGGTCTTTTTTAGTTACAACAGCAAAAACAGGGACAAAATACGAGAAATATCGAAACACGTAAAATAACAAGTCTTATGGTTTAAATCAAAATGGCCGACGTTACACGAAAACAACAAATCTTGCTAAATAAAGAAACTATAAATAACACAACGGAAAGAGAGACAGGAAAATTAAACACAGAAGTTATGAAAACTGTTTACTCAGGACGACAAAATAGATAAACGAAGTAACACGTAAAAATATTCAAAGATAAGCAAAAATTATAAAAAGTATAAACTGAAATTAATGTGGGGCAGGGAATACAAAATAAACTGAAAGAAATAAGTTCAATATAATTAAAAAGGAGAAAGAAAATCAAAAGACCTAAGAGAAACAAGGTGCAAAACAAAGATAAAATAAGGACTGGAGGAGGGTGAAAGAATGAAAAGGAAAATTCAAAACCTTTAATCAGAAACAATCAGTAAAAGAACATAAAAAAAATAATTTTTTAAAACTTAACGCAAACTTCAGTGTTCAAAACAAAACTTCCAAGATTGGAGCAGTAAAAATAAAGTCAGCCACTAAGCAATTGTCAGGCTGGTATGGGAAAAGAGAACTCTCACTACTCAAATCTTACTTCTGTCCTGGAGTAATACGGTGCCTTACACGTTTCACGTACGATTTCATTTTTAAGTCTTTTTTCACTGCTCATTGAACTGTCATAGCTGAAACTCCTCTCTCACGTCCCAATTGTCTTATGAACTGAGTTGGATCTATTCTAATTGATCTCTTTAGCTCTACGTTGAAAATGATGATCCATCTTCCTTTCGTGGGCTACTGATCCAGTTTTCCTCTCTACTTTTCCCTCTTTTTTAAACTTATTCAGCGTTCTCTTGAGGGTTCATGGATGGGTTTGGAAGATGGAAGCCAGAGTATGAATGTTAGTATCATTAATGAAGGCCTGGATAATCTTTTTCGTCTCAGCATTCCTCATATGCGAAGAAAATGGGGCTGACACACAAAAAAATTCTGTTCACATTTACTTAATGATATTTAAGCCAGACATATAAGCTGACCAATATTTCAATATGGGGACACCTTCATCAGCCATGCTGAAAAATGTCAGCTTCCTTCAAGACTTGTCCAACATGCTCCTTCAGAATATATATATGTATATATATATATATATATATATATATATATATATATATATATATAGGTAACTATACCGTTCTTGAAAAAAACTTCGAATTTTTGATTTGCCAATAATCAAATCAATCTCGAAGGAAAAAATGGTTTTAAAAAAAGAAACAGATAGGAACATGAAAGTCTGTCGAAAAAATCGCACAGATACAGGTTCAACGCCTCCCAAAAAACCCGACACGAGTAAACAACTAATTAAAAAGAGCTCAATACAACCGTAGAGCAAATCTAGTCAAGCCTAGTGAGCCAGACAAACCTGGGTAGGTTTGTCTGGCTCCTAATATATATATATATATATATATATATATATATATATATATATATATATATATATATATATATATATATATATGTATATTTTCCTGATGTATCCGAATAAATCCCAATAACCGACAAATACTATTCTTAAAAAGAATGCTCAATACAGAGTAGAGCAAATATAATTATTTTTTCGAAAATTATAACATAAATATGTTATAAAATCACTACAGAAATAGCCAATTTATTTCAACACTTCTGGTGTCTTATCAAATGATGGTGTTGAATGTGTTTTTAATATGGGGACACCTTCATCTGCCATTCTGATAAATCTCACCTTAGTTCAAGACTGGTGCAACATGTTCCTTCACTATATATATATATATATATATATATATATATATATTACAATATTCAAGTCATCTTCAGTTTTAACCAACTTTCTTAACCCATCGTGTTTTTTTTATATCCTTAACCATCCCATTAACTTACATTATGAAATGTGAGTAATTTCAATTTCATCAACATCTCATAAATCATCCCTGATTCGAATGCACTTCAATTTTAGTTTCATCGTTGAATGGAAACATCTGTTTCCCAGAGTCCATACCTTTTTGAAAATTTTAAATGCCTTTAATACTGGTTTATGACCCCGTGTTCCTTGTTCTTGAAAGACGTACTTTTTAATATGAACTATTATTAAATTAGACATGCTGGACTCAGCCACCACTTCCTTGCAATCTTTTTTAACTGTGCGATTTCTGTCTGAATCAGTTTTCTTACCATCCTATGTTGCAACTTTCTAAGGTGGCCACATCTTCAGATTCGAAATACTTTAATGCCTTGAAACTTTGTGAGGATTTCTAAAATGTTGCTGCATGAAATTCTGAGTTCCTTACCTACCATTGTCCAACTCATATTCTTGGACATCTTCCCCGTCCTTATCGTCATTTATCGAGAAATGAAGAGGCACTGCAATTCGGTTTATGAATTTCTAATCTACAGAAGAAAAGACGGTAATATACATTTTTTTGCAATATCATCGAAAAAAAAAATCTAAAAGCTTAGATGATGACCGAAGATTTTGCACGGTAATTATTGAGGATAGTCTCGCATCTTCATCTCATCCAGTACCCAGCCACAAAATGGTCCAATAATACGTCGAAATCGACGGGAGAGTCGCCTATATATATATATATATATAATAGGTGAAAAAATTATGACAAATTGGAAAAAGTTTTCATCTGACGATTTTGATGTTTACGTTGAGGCTATTTAGTCCGATAAAATGCTAAAGGACGAAATGTGTGGGTGGGTTTGTACGTGTGCGTGTGTGTTTACCTGTGCGTGTGTGTGTATACTTTCAATATTAAAGAGAATATCCAGCAACATACAGCCTGGGACCAAACAGAGTAGAAGGGAAGACTATTTAGTTCGTTGAAAATGTGAAATTTTTATTTAATTATTTTTTTAAATATTCACTGTCAAATTCACATTTTGTGTGCGTTTTATACATCAGTATATATTCTATGGCGGGATATGCAGTGTTAGTTTTATAATTTCAAATTTCCTTTGATTAATTCCGGGAAAAAATGAATGTTAATCGAAAATATCGGAAACGTCCAATACGAAATCTTTACACACGGAATTTGCAGGTGTTAGTTAAATCATTAGATGATAAAATATAGATAAAACCAGTAACAATACACTAGCAGAAATTATACAAAACTAGCTTAGTCTGGCACAAGGTTGCAACATTGGAGCATCAGTGATGACCGAACTCACTACCAAAACAACCTTACTAAACTTCATTTTTCTTAGGTCTTGTTTTAAATCTTATCTCTGTAAAGCATAAGAATAGTGTGATCCCCAGTTATATCAATTTGTGCTGATCTACAGTCAGCCAGACATCCAACAAATGAATATTCGAAATGTTATGTCCGTTTTCCTTTTATGCAGACGGTATCATTTCTTTTTTTTTTTTTTACATCAATTCCTCTTTTCAGAGATTTACAATGGCGCCATCAAATTCTAATCTGTCATCTAATTTTATTTTCAAGTTTGTTTTTATCCTTCTGTTCCGATAATCCTAATCTTTATTCTAATTTGTCGCTTGCACGGAATTCTCATGAGGTCTGCATCGATTTTTTGGGCCGGCTTTTGTCTTGCACTTCCGCCATCTTTATTTGTGTCTTTTTTTAATCCCACATTCTGTTGTTAGGAAATTCTATTTATCGATGTGTTTCGTTTCGCTATTTCAAGGACAGCCAACTTGAATTAAACGAACTTTTGTATCCATTCCTGTTTTTGCATCTAACATTCCGGTTAGATATTAATCAAAGCACTTCTGTCTTCCTTTTATATCCCTCACTTTTTACTTTTCATTATTTTTTTCACTCTCTCTTTCTACCCCTCTCTCTCTCTCTCTCTCTATATATATATATATATATATATATATATATATAAATACATCATCACTTTTTTTCTTTTTTTACTCATTCCTCCTTTCTCTCTCTCTTTCTCTCTCTCTCTCTCTCTTTCTATATTTTTCTGTATTTTTTTTCTGTATTTCTCTCTCTCTCTCTCTCTAGAGAGACAGAGGGAGAGAAAGAGTTACATCACTTTTTGTTTCTTTTACTCATTCTCTCTATATATCTCCTCCTCCTCTCTTTTACTCACTTTCCCGATTTGCTCCCCTTTCTCTCTCTCACTCTCCCCTTTATTCTTTCCCCCTCATTTACTCTCTCTTTATTCTCTCTTTTTCTCACATTGTTTCTTTTACTCTATCGTTTTCCTCTTTACTCTTTTCACTCTTATTTTCTCTCTCAATTTAACTCTTTCTATTGTCATCTCTTTCCGAGCGTACTCTCTCCCGCCCTTTTCTTTCTTTCATTCTATAACACATTTTCTCCCTTTTACTTTGAATATAGTTCATCCTCCACCTCATTCTCTCTAATGATTCTTACTCTCTTTTTGTCTTTCACTCTATATGATTCTCTCTCTTTTTCTCTCTAAATTCTTCTTTTTCATCTCACTTATTAATTCCAATCTTTTTCTCGCTTTAAATTGTCTCCCTTTCTTTAAGCTCAATGTCTTTCTATCTTCCATCATCTCTCTTTTCTCTCTTGGACATCAGTCCTTTCCTGTCTCCCTTGGATTCAGTCTTTCTCTCCCCCACTCTCTCTCTTTATCTTTCTATCCCCGATACCAGTCTTTTTCTTTTGACCTCTTTTTCATTTAAACTTATTTTTCTCTCTTCCACCATCCTTGTCTCTCTCAGTTTTTCTCCTTCAACTTTACTCTTTGATCCCTTTGATTCTCTCTCTTTCTTTCTCTTTCCCTTTTTCTCAGCGATATAATTTGTTCTCCTTTTCTCCTCTCTCTCTTTTGATCGTAACCTTTTTTGTCCTTTAACCTCCTTTGACATTTTATGACAATTTTTGTCTCTGTCATTTCCCCCTCCCTTGTTTTATGTCTCTATTTTCCCTCTCATAGCTTCTCTCTCTTGGATATCAATATTTTCCTTTCTCTTTCACACACAGACTCTCTCTCTATTTCTCTCTTTCTCTCTTAGATATCTCTCTCTTCTCTCTTAGATATCAGTCTTTTCCTCTGTCTCTCTCTTTCTATCTCTTCCTTTAACTCTCTCTCTCTCTCTCTCTTGGATATCAGTCTTTTCTTGTCTTTCTCTCTTTCTTTCTCTCTTTCACTCTCTCTCTTTCTCTCTCTCTTTCTCTCTCTCTCTCATTCTTCCTTTATCTCTCTTGGATATCAGTCTTTTCTTGTCTTTCTCTCTTTCTTTCTCTCTTTCACTCTCTCTCTCTTTCTCTCTCTCTTTCTCTCTCTCTCTCATTCTTCCTTTATCTCTCTTGGATATCAGTCTTTTCTTGTCTTTCTCTCTTTCTTTCTCTCTTTCACTCTCTCTCTCTTTCTCTCTCTCTTTCACTCTCTCTCCTTTCTCTTGGATATCAGTCTTTTCTTATCTTCTTCTCTCCTACTCTCTCTCTCTCTCTCTCTCTTGGATAGCTGTCTTATGCTGTTTTTGCCCCCCATCTCTTTCTATTGGATATCAGTACTTCATCCTCTCTGTTGGAGATCAATCTTTTCCCGTCTTCCTCTCTTTCTCTGTTCTATATCAGTGTTTTTAAAAAATTCCAACCTCTTTCTTTTCACACATTTTCACTTTTTCAATCAGTCAAGTTTTCTATCTTTGATCTTAAACTTTCCCTCTTCCTCAGATTCCGTCTCTTTCTTTCTTTCAGCTCGAAACTTTTTCCCTCCTTGGAAGTCTCTGTCACACTGAACATCGACTCTTTCTCTCACTTTGATCTTAATCTTGTTCTCTCTTTCTATCTCTCCCCGCTTTAATTGATCTATCTTTTTCTCTCGTTCATTTTCTTTGATAACATGGGCTACTCTTTCACATCTTTCTCATTTTCTACCTTTTACCTTTCTCTTCTTTTTAAACTCTCTTCATCTCCGTTCACTTTCTTTTCTTTCTTTTATAATCGATCTCATTTATCGGTTTTCCTCCCTTATTCTCGCTAATCCTTTCCTGTTAAATCTTTTCTGTCTTCTGTTGCATTCAATTCTTTCATTTTGCCAATTAACTTCTCTGAAGACCAATTTGTCTTCGTTCCAAAATCAATTTATTTCAAGAGGATACTTTTCGTGCAAATTTACGACCGCTTTATACAAGCCGTCACTTAGAATGAACGAAGTGAGTTTTTGCAAGAATTGCTGTTCGGTTTGAATGCATTTCACTAAAACATGAATTACAAATAAAAAAATTCAGTATTTCTGTCCACAAAATGTCGTCTGCTTTGCGAAAGAATTGACTTTCTTCGATTTGGCACATTCTAGTGCCGTCCAGTAATGTAATTTCTTCAGATTAATTTGGTCAGACAACTTGCAATGCTTAAAAGACGACAGAGCAACAGAGTAACGACAGGCTGAATCTCTCTGTTTTCAAAATGTTTGTTTTTCCCCACTTTTTGTCCTGTTTTCCCAAGGGCTGAGAGTTAAAAGAACTTGGGGTTTTTTGTTTTGTTGCCTTCTTTTGTTATTATTTTTCTATTATTAATTGATTTCAGAGAAGCCTATAAAATTTAATTAATTCTTGTATTATCCCCATTATTATTGATGATTTTTACGACATTTGCATTTTTTGACTGGCTTATTGTCGGCTGTTCTATTATAAACATTTAGTCAAGGCTTGAGCTTGCTGTTAACTCATTCGACAATGCTTGTATTTGGAACAGTGAACTTTGACCAGTGATTTTCTTTATTTCCTGAAATTTACGTGCGATATTGTATAAACAACCGCTCCTTAAATGAGGTAATATATCGTGCAAATATATGTGTCTGTCATATTCCGTGCTAAAGGAATAAACACATAACACCAGGTGGAGACTTGAAGAAAGGTTTATTGTATATAACAAGTACAATATGAAATACGGTTCAGTTATACACACATGTCAATCTAGTAGTGAGTGCCACTAACTGGAAGGTCGGACGTGCTTGCGTCGTCTCGCTCACTCCTCTCCCTCTCCTCGAGTCTCTTGTAGACAGTGGACATTATAGGTTTTTACATGGGGGTGACTGGCTATTCCATTACATCAGTGTCCAAAAAGAAAACAGCAGACGAATTAGGCGTTTTGGCGACATCAGAATTAAATATTGCGTGCAGTGATCTTCACCTTTCATATATAAAAAAAAAAAACTGAATCATTCTACTTTGATTAACGCGCCAAAATGAACCTATGTATAGTACGCTGGTTTATTCTTTTTTTCTTGAAGAGTTTCGTATTTTCTGTGAATTATCCATCTAATTAGGAAACATGTATAAAGAAACGTTTCTGATACGGTCAGTAGACCAATAGAAAGCGAACTTTTTTTTTAACTCCACGAAAAATCATGTGTGGTACCAGCTTTTCGTACCGGGAAAAATCTAGCAAAGGTGATTCTAAATCAAGACGATATTGTACACGTGATAGGACAATAGCGCGTACCTTATTCTTTTTGAGTTGGTACGCATCTATTTATCATCTCTCAGTTGCATTTCTGTCTTTGGGCAGAGTGCGCTCAGGTACGACTCCGTCAAAGGACAGAGTCGCAACTGAGGAAAATTATACTGAGGAGGTGCCCAGCCCTGGGGAACAGCTGTCCGAGGCCGCGCCCTCCCATTACACCAGAGTGGGGGGGATCGGTGCACGCACCGAGGCCTGCTCAACGAACGGTTGCGAGGGCTCGGGGAATTTTGTTCCTTGCCCGTGTGCACGCACTCGGGCTCCCCACATTAAACCGACCTTGTGTCACGGCCTGATCTCGTGGGGTGTTGAGTAAATATCTACTCTTTTTGAGTAGGTACGCATCTATTTATTATCTCTCAGTTGCGTCTCTGTCTTTGGGCAGAATGCGTTCAGGGGCTTCTTGATCAAAGGACAGAGTCGCAACTGAGGAAAATTATACTGAAAAGGTGCCCAGTGCAAGGGAACAGCTGCCCAAGGCCGGGCCCTCCCATTGCACTAGAGAGAATGATCGGTGCACGCACCAAGGCCAGCGCAACCGACGGTTGCGGGGGCTGAGGGCAATTTTTGTCCTTGTCACAGGCGTACGCGCCTGGGTCCCCACCTAGAAAAGACCTTGTGTCACATCTCGTCCAAGTAGCGGGAAGGAGTTAATACCGTACACGTGATAGGACAATAGCGCGTACGTTACTGTTTTTGAGTAAGGTCTCGTCTACTTATCATCTCTCAGTTGCGTCTCTGTCTTTGGGCAGAGTGCGCTCAGAGGCTTCTCTGTCAAAGAACAGAGGGCCAACTGAGAAAATAATACTGAAGAGGTGCCCAGCCCTGGGGAACAGCTGTCCGATGCCGCGCCCACCCATTGCACCAGAGGGAGAGATCGGTGCTTGCGGGGACTGAGGAGAATTTTTTTCCTGTCCCGGGCGTACGCGCTCGGGTTCCACACCTAAAAATAGACCTTGTATCACATCTCGTCCAAGTGGTGCGACAGAGTAAATACCACGCGTGATAGGACGCATATTTATGAAGATGCACGCGGTGATCCGTAAAAAATTATTACCTATCTGCGACATTTCCAGGGAGATAAGAATCTGTAAGAGTGTGTGTCCTCGGGCTTTAAATGGGAAGAATAATTATGCAGAATGTTGTCGCAAAGAGAACCGGGTCTGCTAACAGTTGAACCAAAATTAAAACGCAGTATCGCATAGAAACTGTTTGATGAAGGGAATTCTAATGAAGATGTTCTGCAAAATGTCCAAACAAGTAACCTGGTGTTGCATAACCCCACTGATGGGGTTGTTTCCTCCCCTTATCGCTAGGACGACGATCGCTAATTATTTTGGTTAACCAATGAAAGACTTCAAACAAAGAGAATTTTAACTTAAGTATTTTTATTACTCATGTCAACATGTGCATTATTTAACTATCCAGTAGGGGTCGTCGCCCTCACTGGGGAGACGTTTCGGACACGAAAGAAAACATGTCTACATCACTTGTCGGTTAAGAACCAACTCTACCTCCAGAAACATTTCTCTTTGTCTATCATTCCCACGTTAGATCAGCCAATCAAAATCGACTTCCGTATTATGGCTTACATCTGACCCCGATTGTCAACCTCCGGAAGTCGGAGTTGACATACAGTTCCCCTAAAAATAATAGTCTTCTAAACTATTAACACAGGTGATGACGTCAAATCCGAAACTTAGTTAACACAATGGGTTGAAACATGTTCATTACTACTGACAAAATATCATGGTAAACAGGCTGATATGTAAAGTTGGCATTGATTGATCTTTTTCAGATAGTTCAACATGAGGTTTCCGCAAGTGATCAAATGGTTAATAAAGAGTTTTACTTGGAGAATAGGAGGTGCTTTAGAAATAGCGTTTTAAGGAATTCTCGAGGGGCATATAAAAATAAACCCTCGATGAACAACATCCCAACACTACTTATCCATAAATATTTGACAAGGACAAGAAAATTCTTGATCTTGTTCTACAGTGGCTTCATTGTCCGAACTTGAAACTGAAGCAGAAATACATAGGTTGCCTATTTGAGACGATTGGAAAAACAAAGCAGAAGAAATTTAAAAATTAAGCAACGAAGCTTGTGTACTAACTCATAAAACGACTTGCAGAACGATCTTAGATCTGGCAAAAAAACAGCGAAGCGGACAATATTAAATAGGGAAAACTTTTAATCTTTGAACACGGGAAGAATTTACATTTGAATAAATTGATCTGTGGGCTACACACATACCCCCCACATGCACGCACGCACACAGACTCATAGACACACACAGAAACACAAACACACACAAACACACACACACTCACACACACACATATATATATATATATATACATATCGGGTTACAAATATATATATATATATATATATATATATATATATATATTTCGATTGCAAAAGGGTTCATCTACGAAACACTAGAGTCAAGGATCTGAATATAACATAAAACAGCTGACAAATTTTATTTGTGTTAATCCTATATATATATATATATATATATATATATATATATATATATATATATAATTATAATTGAAAACTCAAAATACGCCATCAGTATGGCCATTTCACCCCGCAAGAAATTAATCTTCCGAGGTTGGTCCTAAATTTCTTGCGGGGAGAGATAGCCATATATATTGAGGGGGTGGGGACAGGGGTTCATTTATAGTTAATTTATTTATATATGCTTTGTAATAAATACATTAAGGAATCTTTGTGGATTACTTTTAATATTTTATATTATTGGGATTCACTTGGATTACTTACCCACGGATTTTACGCACACACACACACACACACACACACACACACACACACACACACACACACACACACATATATATATATATATATAGTATTTATTTAAAAATTATAACATGAAAATATTTTAAAATCACTACAAAAATAGCTATTTTGTTTCAACACCATCAATTGAGAAGACAGTAGAAGGGTTGAAACAAAATGGCTATTTTTGTAGTGATTTTATAACATTTTTATGTTATAATTTTCGAATAAATGATTATATATGCTCTACTCTGTGTTGAGTACATTTTGTTGGTTACTGAATTTATTCCGTATACACCAATCCTATAATTGTGTATATATATATAATATATATATATATATATATATATATATATATATATATATGTATAGTCGACTCTCCTGTCGAATTCGACGTATGAGAGTCAAGCAGATCAGTTCCCAGGAAACCGACAGGCCGACAACAGCACATGAGATTTGATTATAGTGGTGAAGGTTTCGTGCAGGACCAGCCACACTTTTTGAAGGGACGAATACAGAGACCTGGTG